TTAAAACATAATAACATATGACAGTCAATTATGACACAATTAAAACAGCAAGGCATAAAAACTGTATTAAAAGTAAGACACTAGAATCATTGAGTTGGAAGAGACCTTGTGGGCCACCCAGTCCAGCCCCCTGCCAAGAAGCAGGGAAATCACATTCGAAGCACCCCTGACAGATGGCCATCCAGCCTCTGTTTAAAAGCTTCTAAAGGAGGAGCCTCCACCACACTGAGGCAGAGAGTTCCACTGCTGAATAGCTCTCACAGTTAGGAAGTTCTTCCTACAGTTCAGGTGGAATCTCCTTTCCTGTAATTTGAAGCTATTATTCCATGTCCTAGTCTCCAGGGCAGCAGAATACAAGCTTTCTCCCTACTCCCTATGACTCCCCCCTCACATATTTATACAGGGCCTTCATCATGTCTTCTCCCCAGCCTTCTCTTCTGCAGGCTAGACATGCCCAGCTCTTTAAGCCACTCCTCATGGGGTTTGTTCTTCAGACTCTTGATCACCCTTGATCCTCTTGACACATTCCAGCTTGTTAACATTTCTCTTCAATTGTGGTGCCCAGAATGGGACACAGTGTTCCAGGTGTGGCTGACCAAGGCAGAATAGAGGGGTAGCATGACCTCCCTGGATCTAGACGCTATACTCCTATTTATGCAGGCCAAAATCCCATTGGCTTTTTAGCTACCACATCACATTGTTGGCTCATGTTTAACTTGTCCACGAGGACTCCAAGATCTTTTTCACAAATACTGCTGTTGAGCCAGGCGTCTCCGATTTTGTATCTTTGCATTTCATTTTTTTCTGCCTAAGTGGAGTATCTTGGATTTGTCCCCGCTGAACTTCATTTTGTTGGTTTCGGCCCATCTCTCTAATCTGTTAAGATTGTTTTGAATTCTGCTCCTGTCTTTGGGAATATTGGCTCTCCCTCCCAATTTGATGTCATCTGAGAACTTGATGATCATGCCTTCTAACCCTTCATCTAAGTCATTCATAAAGATGTTGAACAAAACCGGGTCCAGGGCGGAACCCTGCTTATGTTACTCCTCTCATCACTTTTTTCCAGGATGAAGAGGAAGCATTGGTGAGCACCCTCTGGGTTCGTTCAGTTAACCAATTACAGATCCAGTTCAGCAGTGAGATACCCAGAGTAGCTGACCACTTTTGAAAATCATAATAAAATGTAAAAATAAAAATATTATTTGAGCAACTTAAATCATGCACTTGATTTATGAGAATTGGCAAAAATTGGAACAATACTGAATTGTTTTGTTAACTATTCAAGATTCTGTTTATATATTTATTTCCTTGGTTAATTATGCATTCCATTGAAATAGTTGTCAAGTTTGACATTAGGTTGTATTTTTCTTCCAGTGTAAAATCTAATAATTACTTGAGAATTATTATTCACATCTGAGAATATAGAGAACGTATTTTTGAAGTTTATTGCTTTAATGTCTAGTTGATTGGCTTTACCTAGGACTGCCCCAAATGCTTCTCTTTATTTCTAGTGTAAAAAAGCACTGTATACAAGATGTTACATTTAATCTTTTTTGCTCTTGGGAATCGTGTTTACTGGGTCAGCAGCAAAGGGAATAGCATCATTAGTTCTGACTTGCAGAGAAAGCAAGGCATCATATGTCTGCCAACTGGAACCTTCATTGGAAAAGTAAAGAGCTTTCCTTTTTCTCATTGGGATCGTAACTTGAAAACTCACTGGCTAAAACACAGGACTAATATATTTCAGTTATGTAGCCCAAAATGTAGTTCAGTGGTAATATCTGTAACATAAAGATTTAAATAAAAATCTATAAGAGTCTCCTGCTCCCATTGTAGCATTCAGATAATCTTATTGTGAGAAACATAGAATAACAATAACAGTGAAATTCAGATTTTTGTTTTTGTTTTAATTTTGCTCCCTTTTTGTTTGAACTCATCTGCATCTGGCATAAGATACTTGCTGCAATTCATGAGCTGATAGTTCTCCATACACATTAAAATGATTATTTTGGAGTTGATTAATATCATAGTAAAGCCTTTAAAAAGTAAAGTTGGGTATGCCTAATCCCATATAAGTAATACCTAATGATATACTCTGGAGAATTAAGGCCTAAGACTCCTGTTTATATATTGTCTAGCTTCATGCAGCTGCTGCCATCTAGTTGCTGCTTCCATATGGTACTCTATTCATGCTTAGTGAGAACAGATCCTGTCAGGGCAATGGCTGCTCCAATTCAGATTAGCATTGCTGATGTGGCTTGAAGTTGCAGAAACCCCCAGGAGTAATGCAGGTGCAACCAGGGGAGCAGCAGCAAGTACTCTGCTCCATCTAACGTGTGATACCTGCTTGACTTAACAGAAACAAGCACCCAAAGCCCAAGATATCAACCATTGTTCTTGGCAGTAGTTGGAATCTGAGGCCCTAATTTGACTCCTCCAGTAGTTGAGGTGAAAACACAATACATGTCTTGCTTGTAAACGTTGTTGGAAATGACACGTGGCTGCACGCATTTCTTATATCTTTGTACGCTGATTGGTACAATGACTCGTACAATGAATCCATTCTCCAGTGATCAAGATAAATGCTTGGATGTTAGGTGGCAATAGGGAAGTGATTGTGGAAGCGACTGAATTTTTTTCTTGACTTAGTTTTTCTCCAGGTGCAATGCAGATGGTGGCTCTATATCTTCTGATGTTTTCTTGTTCATTTAATTACACAAATTCATTAGTCATAAAGTGCTTAACCACTGATGAATTATAGTATATAAGTTACAGCTTATAACCTACTGCTTGTAAATTTCATAATGCTCTCAATATTTCAGATTATATGTAAGCATTAACTTGGGTGTTTTTACAGGGAAAAATCTACAGAGAAATAGAGTATTAATCAGGACTGTTGCATATTTTATACAGTCCTCTGTTTCATGTTGTACTTTGAAGAATGAAACAAAAATTCTGGGTTCAAAATATATACTTCAAGAATAATTTACTGTGCATATATGTTTACTTTGAGCTTTTTCACTCTGGAACTTTTAGATGAACGTGAATGATAGCTACGAAATGAAAGAGGGCAGAACATGGAGATACGGTTTAGGAGAACTAGATGACTGTGAGATGAAGGTTATGAAGTTCCCTCTCTTTTGTCTGAATATTTGCCGTGGGTGGTCAGGTTTTTTTGCTAGTAGGAGAGCTAGAAAATTCATTTAAATGAAATAAACGATCGTTTTAATCCTAGAACAGTGTGCTAGCTAGATACAAGAGAAAATGGTTGGCAAGTTAGTTTTACAAACTACCTAAGGCACAAATCTCTGGGTTAGTGAAAGACTTAAGAGTAGAAAGAAACACCCTTTGTTGAATGGCTAAATAGCTTGGAGTGCTCAAACAGTGGCTGTACAGGTGCATATCGTTTTAGTGAGTTACTGTTTGTTTATGTGAAGACCCCTTAATCCAGTGGTTCTCAATCTGTGGGTCCCCAGGTGTTTTGGCCTACAACTCCCAGAAATCCCAGCTAGTTTACCAGCTGTTCGGATTTCTGGGAGTTGAAGGCCAAAACATCTGGGGACCCACAGGTTGAGAACCACTGCCTTAATGGGCTGGACACATATTTATGCTTGTGAGGCAGGGCTGGTAGAAATCAGAACCTCAAATGCAGAAATTAAAATATATTCATTTCTAAATTTCTCAGATTTGTTTTATTTCACAGGAGGACTGGCAGGTAGCTTTTTAAAAGTATTTCCCATTTGCTCAAAGTTGGGTATAATGTATAACAAATACTATTCCTGAGTCTTTTGTAATGCAAATTGATGAACCTGCCTGTGCATAATTCTGCTTGTCATGAGAAGGTGCAGGAAGCCATGTAGAACAGCAATTAATTTCTCCTTATTGCCACCATGAATATATCCACTCTCATCCAACTCTGGAAATTAAGGAAAGTGGGGTCTGATTAGTACTTGGGTAGGGAACTATCAGAGATTTCTAAGCAAGAGTAAGGAAGGAGTCCTGCTTGAAACTTTGGAAAGCCACTGCCCGTGTTGACAATACAGGGCTAGTTGGAACAGTTATTGATTCAAAATTAGGTAGATTTCTATGCCTCTTAAGTAATTTAAACTTGCCTCGGTGCTTCTCATGCCACATTTTCAAGGGATAACCTCATGTGTGTATTTAATAGAACTTAAATAATAAGAGCACTAAATTCTTGTGCAGGATTCCTATTGCCCTTATATGTTTCTATGGCATTCTATTATGAACTTCAATTCTTAGGGGAATAATCCATGTACATAAGCATTTTTACTGAAGCAGTGATTCCCACCTAGCAGCAAGTTTTTCAGTTCCTTGAATTATCTTTGCAAAGTATTTTCCATGTAGATTTTAAGAACCACTAAATTATGAAGGCATGTAGCAACTCCTTTTTATTTAACAAGCTTTCACTGTTACGTTGTGTATGTGTTAAAGTGTGTACACATGCACATTAGAGAGGAGTTGTATATCAGATTTGGTACTAAGAATCTTCTTCTCATAAAGACACATTTCATATCAAAATAAAAAATTGCTAACTAGTGGGATTGTAGAAACTCTTTAAATATTTAGTCTCCAATCTTAAAGGATGCTTCTTGGTTTTTAAACAAGGCTATTTAGTATACAAGTTATTTCTACATTACCTCCCAATTTCTGAGGTGATGTACAAATAAAAACAGTTGGCACATCAGTTGCGAGGTTTTTGTTTTTATTGAAAGTGCTTTATTTGGCTTTATTCGTCTGATGTTAATTCTTGTTGGAAGGCAATCGGAGAAATGATCAGTAACATAAGGGAAGATTAGCAGATAGCTGCATGTTATTTATTACGCATGGCTTTTCCACCAGTTAAGTTGTTGCATGTGATGACCTTTAATAATAATTTATATTATTAATAATTTTATTATTAATTTATAACAAAATTTAAAATAAGCCATTATCTAGACTGCTGACTGCTTGGAGTTAATTATTATTATTTATTTTCTAAGGAATCCTGAGGACCTTGCAATATGAATAATTCCTTGGAGAACACCATTTCCTTTGAAGAATACATCCGTGTAAAAGCAAGAACAATCCCCCAACATAGGATGAAGGAGTTCCTGGACTCCCTTGCCTCCAAAGGCCCTGAAGCACTGCAGGAATTTCAGCAGACAGCTGCTACCACTACCATGGTTTATCAGCAAGGCGGAAACTGTATTTATACAGATAGCACAGAAGTGGCCGGATCTTTGCTTGAACTTGCTTGTCCCGTTACAACAAGTGTCCAGCAGCAAACCCAGCAAGAACAGCAAATACAGGTGCAACAACCCCAGCAAGTTCAGGTAATATTAAAATGATGCACTGACTACTCCTCGCTGTATTCATTTGAGTGTATGCAGAAGCTTAGATAGTTTTGAAAGCACTTGAAAGACTAGTGTCACATTTACTTCCATTGATCTCTGAAACAAAATAATACAGAAAGCAAGAGGTCACATTGTTACTTATGAGTATTCTAGGTAGGATAAGGACAGTATTGAATTGATACATGGATTGTCATATATCTACTATAAATGGAACATAATTTCAGGATTTTTGTACTGTTTATTTCCCTTTTCTGTTTTAATGCATTATATAAGGTTGTATTATTTGGAAGTATTCTATTTGAGTTTACCATGCCATTTCAGTTCAAAATGTACGTATTAGATTTGAAATGAGATGGATATATAGAATCTCTAATATCTTCTGTAATGCTGTTAATGGAATAGAGATAAAGATTTAGTTGTAACAATAATAATTTTGTATAAGAATCCACCTTCTGCCCCAACAAAACCCCACTTTCTTTTTTCTTTGTTCTCCCTTTGTGACATATTAGGCCCATCAACACTGCCATATGAAATCCAGATTATCTGCTTTGAATTGGATTACATGGTAGTGTAGATTTATATAATCCAGTTCAAAGCAGATAATGTAGATTATCTGTTTTGATAACCTGGATTATATGGCAGTGTAGAAGTGGACTTAGATATTTGTTAACCAATTAATAACAACTCTATTATTCTCTTACTATCTCTACTTTTTATTCCCCCCCCTCTTCTTACCTCACCCCCATTCCCTGTGAAATTATTCCCCCTATTTTTATTTGAAAATTCTCAATAAAAATATTTTTTAAAACAAAAACATATGCTACACAAGCAGATGCATATCTAGAAATGTGTTTTACAGTCCCAGAAAAAAGCCACATGCCTGCAAACCAGTGTTTGTGGTCTGCAAACTGCATGTTCATAGAAGACTAAATGGATTATAGCATACATTTAAATGGCAGTATATATTTCTAAAAAGTACAGAAATAAGGCCAACCATTTAAAACAGTATAGTTAGAGTATTATATATCTGAAATGCTTGGGATCGGAAGTATTCCATCTTTTTGATTTTTTTCAGATTTTAGAATAATTTTATATACTTAATGAGATCTTTGAAATGGCACCCAAATCTAAACATGAAAATTCATTTATGGTTCATATACATCTTATACACAATAGTTCGTTGCATGTACATGCAAGCACCAGAAAGCAAGGGTTTCAATAATTGTTTGCTCGTGTAGACAGTTTTGGATTCTGGAATTCCAGAGAAGGGCTGTACTTTTGGAAAATGGCATTTATAACATTTTGGAAAACACCTTTTGGAGATCATAAGAAAAGCATGACCTTTCAGAGAAGAGCCAAAACCTGTTTAGAGTATAATCTCTTATGGTATACAACCAAATATAATTATACTAGGCAATGGTTAGACTGAATAACCTGTTATCTCTGATCTGTTGGGAAAACAGATTTTTGCCAATGCATAAAAACAGTAAAATCTTAGAAGTGTTTTTCGGTTGCCCAAACATATGTACTCTCCCATAAAACAACTTGTTTTATATCATGCACTCAAAACAAAATGAAATAGACTTTGAAAAAAATAAATTATTTGGTTTACTCATAAGCTTCATGTGTTCAGCATACACAGGTACAAAATTTATCAGTCCAGTTTCAGATATGTTTGAGATGGTTCCCTGTGCCAGTCAGCCAGGGCATCTCTCTTGTAACAAAATTGCTGTCAACAGGTCACATAGTCAAAAGGAGAGAGAGAGCATTTGGTCTGCAGCCCCTTTTATAACTTCTCAGGAACCATAGAGTAAAGGAAGCTGCAAACTAGAACATACATACAAATAGTAAGCAACAGGATTATAGATAAACATTCCTAGAGAAGGCTTGAAGAAGGATGTCATTTCCAACATGTACTGTGTTTCAAATGCCATTATTTCAAAACATTATACTTGCTTCTTTGAAGGCATGGTATTTCTGAATTTTTAGTCATATTCTTCTGTAGAATTGGCATTTAGGTTGCATTTTCACATGTAGCTGTGGTTTTTTTTTTTTTAAAAAAAAACCACACACAATAATAGCTATCATTTTGTAAAACAGACATATTTTATTAGTAAATAAATGGCTTACTGTAACTTCTGAACTGTGTGATGTTCATTGGATAAATAGTGACACTGCTTGAGTTATTACTCCTCAGGCATATTGGACCCAACTGTATTTCCTACCTATTAACTGAAAACAGACAATTATAAGGAGGAGGAAGAGTTGTATTAACTAGAATTTAGAATATCTCTAGTTTATCTGTGTATGTAAATGACATGGCTTTAACCACAGATGGCTTGGAAACTTTCCAGAGCTTTCCCATTCGTAGCCATATATAGTATACTAATTATCAGTTAATAGTATCACAGTACCTTTCAGTGTGTCATCTACAATATGGCAACAAATGGAAGAAAATTCTGTCACAATGATCATAAACTATGCTGACTGGTACTGAAGAGCAAATGCCCTACAGTGCTTCTTGATTGAAGTAGTTGGGAAGTGACTGGCACATATAATAAGCATCATCATCATCATCATCATCATCTTTACTTATATCCTGCCCCATCTCCCCGAGGGGACTCTGGGCAGCTTACAAAAAACAATAGTGCAAACAAACACATAAAGTATACAATAGAAATTAGGCTAAATCAAAATTAACACAAAGGCACATTAAAATGAACATCCATATTGTTTATATAGTTTAACATAAAACTCCACGAGTTAAAATAAGTTAAACGATAAAACATAAATAAAATTTAAAATCCTACTATACAAACCAAATTTGATGTCCAGCCACAATCAAATTAAAAGTATCAACATCAGGGTGAGACTTCAACCTATTTATATTCTCCACTTTTTAGAGGTTACATTAGCCATTGTCAAAGGCCAGCTTGAAAAGCCATGTCTTATGAATTATGTGGGCTTACCTGATCTCCCTGGGGAGGGCGTTCCAGAGCCGTGGGGGGGGGGGGCATGATCAACAAGGCCCTTTCTCCTACCTCTACCAACCATGCTTCAGACAATGCCGGGACCGAGAGGAGGGCCTCCCCAGCAGATCTCTGTGCTCATGCACAGTTCATAGGGGTATATGCAGTTGCAAAGATAGGCTGGACCCAAACCGTATTTATGATGAAATTTTAAAAATCGGTAGCACTGGAAGATATCTCTAGAACCACCTGGTTCATATCAGTGTAATGCCTGATAAGCATTACATTGGAAAGAGAAAGAACAACAAAGTGTTTTGGCTTTATTTTAAAAGAAAGAAAAGTAATACTGATTCTTCAGTACTTGATTTTACCAATATCTACTGGTTGGAAATATTTATTCCACATGTTAATAGTTCAATCTAACCTTCGTTTACTAATAATTAGTTCAGCTTTTTCCTTATGAAAGAATTCTTCCACTTAGGAACACACATAAGTTTTTGACCATTACAAAACAACAATCTTGAAGCATTTCTTCTAACAGCTTAGGGGAAAATGTTTTTACATTTCAGAGCTCTTAATTTTAGTTGTGTATTTTGATGTTACGTGTATCAATAAAACTGAAATACAACAGCTGTATATTTCTGTTGCTTAAATGGTGTCAAGATAGGTGCTGTCAGTTAACTTACTTACAAAGAGCTTTATTTTCATCAGAGAAATGATTCCTCTCCAGAAAAGATGGGTGTCCTTGAAACTTACTTAACTACAGCCATTCTTAGAGAAAAGCACTTATAAGTCTTGTTTTGACTATTCTGCATTGCTTGAATTCTATTTCTAACTATCTACATTATATGTGTGTGCTTCTGCACGTGCCTTCAAGCCGCCTGTCAACTTAGGGCAATTTCATGAATGTTATAGGTTTTCTTAGGCAAGGAATTCTCAGATATGATTTTGCCAGTTCCTTCCTCTGAAATATAACCTGGTATTGCTTGACCCCCCCCCCCCCCCCAAATCCAAGAAGTAACCATGTCTGATCTTATCTAACTTAGCAAATATATATTAAATATTGTGAATGCAACAGATACAAGGACTACCACTAAATTTATTATACCAGCAGTAGACTACAAAATTAGTAATGTGCCATCACATATTATGTAAATTGATCCAATCTTGTTTGTGAGTAGCAATCTGCATGTAGCAACAGATGCTGTAACACACTCAATTGAGTCATTCTGTATACTGACAGGTGAGCTGTAAATGTTTGAGAGGATGTGTACATTGGAATAACTCGGGGTTCTTACTTAAAACACCATTACTTAAAACATTATCTTATCTGTAGTATTTTACCATTCTTCAGGACCAAATTAAGTATGATCCAGAAGAATATTTTGTATGTGTCTCACTTTGATTAAAAGCTAAAACAATATGCTTTTCTTTTTAAACACTGAAGGTACTGGCCTGTGTCTCATATGCTTTGCTGGTACTCTTATAGCTGAAAAGAGGAGTGAAGAGCTGAAAATGAAATCTTCCATATTTCACCTATATTTATATTTAGGTTTCCCTCATTTGCCTGCAACATGAGGTCTTTTTTTTTAAACAGTTGTCAGGTGATATTTGCTGGTAACCATGTGTTGGTAACTGGCACTTGTTTCAGAAGGAATTAGTTTCACTGCCTTCTCCAGCTGCATGTCTGTGTGCAAGTCCACAGAATATAAAAAACATTGTCTTGAGGCAAAGAGGGTGTATTTTTTAAACTGTGTTAAACAAATAGAAGGAGCTGTTATAATTCAAAAACAAAGCAGGTAATTGGTACCTAAGAAAATAAAGTGCAAGGTGAGGTTTTTAATTTGTTTGCTTTGACAGGCTCCAAGAAGAATAGCCTTATATTCATATTTTGTTTTATGTCCCACCTTTCTTCCAACATGGGACTACAAGCTTTCTTCAAACAAATTAAAACAAAGTACAGCTAAAATATTATTTAAAAGTTAAAAATACAACTAAATAAACAATTTTATTAAAATTATAAAGTAGATGAAGTTTAATTTTTTAAAAAAACATAATAAAAAAGATAAAATTGCACATATATCACACCAACTTGATTCATACAATCATCAAAATTAAAAACTTTTTAAATTTTTTTATTGAAGGTTAAGTATAAAATAAAATAAGAAGTAGATTTAGAGAAAGTACATTTAAAGTGGCGGAATATTAATTTCAAAGAAAAGTTAGAAACTTGATATGTAAATCATGACACAAGAAAAAACAAAAAAACAAACAAAAAAAACAATGAAAGATTAAGCAAGAAGTAGATTTTACTATCGGTTTGCTTCCAGGTTCAATTTTGTCGAAAGTCTGTTTTTGTCTTGAATTCCTTCTAGTCTATATAGCATTGGTTTCTTATTTTCCCTGTCCTTTGAGTTTCTTTTAGTTCTTTTTTATATAAATTCCTTTATATTCCTTTTTAGAAAATCTATAAATTTTCCCCAGTCCGTTTCCTGATGTTGTGTATTGTTCTGTGCAAGTTTTTGGGTGAGGAGGTCCATATTCATGATGTCCATCACTTTCAGACCATTTTTAGCTGTTGGCTGAATCCAAGATTAAAACAAAACTGACATGACCAGGTACCTGCAATTGTTATGATAAAATTCTGGAGCATGAGTACCACATGAGTGAACATTTTTGCTTATCCAACGTTCTGCCGACCCATTTATGTTAGATAAGTGAGACTACTGTATCTGTCTTTTGTATCTGATGTTCAGTCAGTAGTTGGAAATGAAACCTTGCTAATAAATTATTATATCGATAGAGATGAGAAGATGTACAGTATTCATTGAAACTTTTTGATTTTTCCTTTTTATTTATAAACATTTTCCCCTGCAGTAGGGTTTGAGTCACTCCTTGAATATGTTATAGCTATTCATTTTGCTTCCAAGCAGAAAGGAAACATTATGATATGTAAACTCTATGGCCTAGTCACAGAGCCACTGGTGTGGGAGTGCTAACTACTAAATCCTTGGTTTTTTCCCCCCCAGGTGCAAGTTCAGGTTCAACAGTCCCCTCAGCAAGTCTCCACTCAACAGCTCTCCCCTCAGCTCACTGTTCACCAAGCCTCAGAACAGCCAATACAGGTCCAGGTGCAGATCCAGCCACAGCAACAGACATCCCAGACAATACAGGGTCAAGCACTTCAGAGTCCCAGTCCGTCTCAGTTGCAAGCGGCTCAGATCCAAGTACAGCATGTGCAGACTGCTCAGCAGATCCAGGGTGCAGAGATACAGGAAGAACACATACAGCACCAGCAGATCCAGGCGCAGCTTGTGGCAGGACAGGCTATTGCTGGGGGCCAGCAAATCCAGATCCAGACAGTTGGAGCCCTTTCTCCTCCGCCGCCTCAGCAAGGCTCACCACGGGAAGGCGAGCGGAGGATCAGCACCGCCAGTGTCCTCCAGCCAGTGAAGAAGCGCAAAGTGGATATGCCTATTACTGTGTCATATGCTATTTCAGGGCAACCAGTTGCCACAGTCCTGGCTATCCCCCAGGGCCAGCAGCAGAGTTATGTATCCTTAAGGCCGGACTTGTTAACGGTGGATAGTGCCCACCTCTATAGTGCCACTGGGACCATAACCAGCCCCACTGGGGAGACTTGGACCATCCCTGTTTACTCTGCACAGCCACGTGGTGATCTTCAGCAGCAAAACATCACCCATATTGCTATCCCCCAGGAGGCCTACAATGCTGTCCATGTGAGTGGCTCCCCAACAGCGTTGGCCACTGTCAAGCTGGAAGATGATAAGGATAAGATGGTAGGAGGTGCATCAATAGTGAAAAACTCTCATGAGGAAGTGGTGCAAACTCTTGCCAATTCCCTTTTCCCAGCACAGTTTATGAATGGCAATATCCACATTCCAGTGGCAGTGCAAGCTGTGGCAGGGACCTACCAGAATACAGCCCAGACAGTTCATATATGGGACCCACAACAGCAGCAACCCACACCTCAAGAGCAGGGGCAGCAGCAGCAGCAACAACAACAGCAGTTGCAAGTCACTTGCTCTGTAAGTAAACTATCCCAATGAAAGTGTTTGCAGTACTTAAATGTTCTGATTGTAAGAAGGCATAGTTATGATCTTTGTGAAAGAGGCATTTTAATAATAATAGAACTGTCTAGATATTTTACCCGAGCTACATAGTATATAGAATAATTTAGGTAAGAATTTTGGTCAAAAAAATCAAGCCCAAAACCTGGTTTGACTTATTCATGGGTCAATGTGAGTGTTGTACTTTTGTTATAAAAAAGGAATGATTCCTTTACCTGAATAGAATGCCAAAAGGCGGAAGCTTTGTCCTGGGAGAACCTAAAAGAAGCACCGACCCCATCTACTGTTACTGCTGTGGTGTTACTTCTGGCCTTTTTGAGTGCCTAGGTAAGGAAATTGTGGTGGTCAGGAATGGCTGGGGTAGCATTGCTACTTTCCCTTCTTTGCGAAATGACCCTTGACTTATCAAAAACATAATTTTGGCTCCAGACCCTGCCCTTGACTTGTATATGACTTTGACTTGTACAAAAGTACCATATATTCAGTAAGTGCACAGAATAACATGAACTGTTTTTAGGTGAAGTTTCTTGACTTACTCTGAATCAAATATATTTATGGTTTTGCAGTATATGGTGTCTTTGTAGAGGTGTGCATTTGACATATTGGCATAAGTGATTTACTGCAAGATGACATTCTGCAAAAAATCTTACGTATTTTTGAAACATGCTGCCTGTGCATAGTCATGCACTCAAATACATCCTATACTCCATTTGAAAATAAGCTATCTTCCTTTGCATTTGGAATGTTTATGTTTGATCTAATTTGCATAATTGCAGGAGATATATAGTGTTTTCTTGGGATAATAGGAGAAACTGTAAAGCTTTCTTATTTTCCTTCTACTTTCATTATTGAAATTAATTTAATTACCTGACAAGATAACTACAAAAATGTGGCATATTGCCAATGACTTTGTGTCACAACTATTTCCACTTTTTAGAGACACTATTTCACATCTATGTCAATTTCGCAAAATTGAAACTCGCTTACTTTTGCCCTCTAGATTTGCACATCTGTATCTTACTAAGATACACAAGAATGGGAATATAACTCTATAGAGCTTTTACACAAACCCAGGTTTAATCTAAGACATAATATCTCTCAGAATTACTAAGTAAAATTCTAGAGAGCTGCTGTTTTGTAAACCAATAAGATGACTTAAATCTAACAAAACACTTTTCTCTGATGACCTGCAATCTTCTTTGCTGTGTTCTCTTTTGACAGTTTGTTTCCCAGAGATACTGTTGTCATGAATGGGATTTGAAGAGAGTTTTCTGAGTGGGCAGAAGATCACTTTTATCTCTTGGCTTCAGGAATGTAACCTTCAGATTTGATAGACTGCCATGTAGTCCCTTAATAGTTCTGCAGATTCGTAAATGCCCAAGTCACATTATATGAAGCGGTGAAGTAAAATTGTGTCCCGTATTTAGAATGACAAAGTTTTGCTGTTTGGATTTAAATAAAAATACTTTTAAGCCTTGAACAGTTGAAATTGCGGAAACCAGCATGACCTTATTTAGGAGGGAGTTGCAGATGCTGTTAGCAGCATTCAGAAACCCACAGAGTGTTTATATTCAGTAAAAGGACACGGGGAAGGAGAGATGCAGTAATTTAAAGGGGAAAACCAAATTTCCTAAATCCAATTTACCATATACATGTGTACATGAAAAGAAAATTTAGCCAAAAAAAATCAACAAACAAATACCCTGGGTCAACTTATACACAGGTCAGTGTAAATGCACTCTCTTATCGTGCCATTCTGGCCTTTATGATTGCCTGCGTGCAGTGGCATCCCTACAGGTGTGTGAAGCAGTTGAATTCAAATGACTGCCACTACTGCAACCTCCAGAATTCCCAAGTCCACCTGAGACATATGGTGTCACCCAAGTGGAAGAGAAGGAATCTCTTTCCTCCCTTGTTCACTGCCACTAGCTTATGTTGCTTTGCCTGATACCTGACACCATCTGGCCATTTCTAGCTAGTGAGTTTGCCATTTCACATTTTCTCAGTCACTTGCATGTCTCCTGATTTGTTTGTTTATTCACCTCCTCTGTCTCCTTTATAGTTCCTCTTCAGCTTCTCCCCATTTCCCTGGGGCTTGCCACTCTCCTTCATCAGTTTGTGCGCCTTGACATATACCCATCCTGTTCCTGTCCCGTGTTCTGGAAATTTGCACAAAGCAGCTCAGATAGCAGGGAAAGAAGCTCTGAAGCTGTTCTTCCTCTTTTCTTTATGCCGCATAATTTGTTGTTGTAGTATATTTGTTCAGTCGCTTCCGACTCTTCATGACCTCATGGGTCAGTCCATGTGAGAGCTCCTTGTCAGCTGTGGCCACTCCGAGCTCCTTCAGATTCAAGCCAGTCACTTCAAGGATACCATCCATCTGTCTTGCCCTTGATCTGCCCCTCTTTTTCCTTTCATTTTCACCAACATAATTGTTTTCTCATGCTTTCTTGTTTTCTCATTATGTGGCCAAAGTACTTCATCTTTGCCTCTTGTATCCTTCCATCCAGGGGGCAGTTGGGCTTTATTTCCTGGAGTAGGGATTGGTTTGATCTTTTCCAGTCCAAGGCACTCTCAGAATTTTCCTCCAGCACCACAGTTCAAAAGCATCTATCTTCCTTCGCTTAGCCTTCCTTGTGGTCCAGCTCTCACATCCATAGGTTGCTATGGGGAATGCCATTGCTTTTACTATGTGGATCTTGGTTGCCAGTGTGATGTCTCTACTCTTCACTATTTTATCGAGATTGGTCATTGCTAACCTCCCAATAAGTGAACATCTTCTGATTTCCCAGTTGCAGTCTGAATTTGCAGTCGTCTTCGTGCCTAGAAATACAAAGTCTGTCACTGTCTCCACTTTTTCTCCCTCTGTTTGCCAGTTTTCAATTAGTCTGGTTGCCATCATCTAGGTTTTTTTGAAGTTCAGCTGCAACTCAGCTTTTGCACTTTCTTCATTCACTTTGGTTATAAGGCTCTTCAACTCCTCCTCTCTTTCAGCCATTAAAGTGGTATCATCTGCATATCTAAGGTTGTTAATGTTTATGCCAACAATTTTAACTCCAACCTTTGATTCATCAAGCCCTGCACGTTACATGGTGTGTTCTGCATACAAGTTGAAAAGGTTGGTTGAGAGTGTACAGCCCTGCTGTACTCCTTTCCAAATCTTGAACCAATCAGTTGTTCCATGGTCAGTTCTTACTGTTGCTACTTGGTCGTTATACAGATTCCCCAGGAGACAGACAAGGTGGCTTGGTATCCCCATACCACCAACAACTTACCACAATTTATTATGATCCAAACAGTCAAAGGCTTTAGAGTAGTCAATAAAACAGACATAGATGTTTTTCTGAAACTCCTTGCCTTTCTCCATTATCCAGCGGATATTGGCAATTTGGTCTCTCGTTCCTCTGCCTTTTCTAAACCCAGCTTGTACATCTGGCAACTCTCTCTCCATGTATTGCTGGAGTCTACCTTGCAGGATCTTGAGCATGACCCTACTGGCATGTGAAATAAGTGCGAAAGTTTGAGCATTCTTTAGCGTTTCCCTTTTTTGGTATGGGGATTAGATTTTTTCCCAATCTAATGGACATTCTTGTGTTTTCCATATTTGCCCCATAATATCTGCACCTAATTTCCCCTTCCCACTCCTCTTCCAATTTCGTCTATCCCTTCATGCACTGGAGACTGCACACATGAATCCAGTACATATATAGATCTAGGTGTGTGTGTGCATTTTGTATGTTTGTGTGTGAGAGAGAACAAACTGAACATTCATGTAAAGTTCCTAAGATGATGGGAAAGTGGGCGATGTTAGGCAAAAGGAAGAATTTGCTGATGGGACTGGTCCCCTAAGGCAGCTCCAACGCTTCCTCTCTCCCTAACTCTCCCTTTACTTAACCATGGGTCATATCAAAATCCATAATTTTGACTACAAAACCTACACTGGACTTATAGGTGAAATTGATTTATATAAATAGAAGAGACTCTGCATGTATAGTAGTTTGAGTGTTGGACTATGACTCCGGAGAACAAGGTTTGAAACCCTGCTTGGCCATGAACACCCACTGGATGACTTTGGTGTAAACTCAATCTTTCAGCCTCAGAGGAAGGCAAATTCTAACAAATGTTGCCAAGTAAACCTCATGATGTGTTTGTTTTAGGGCAGCCATAAGTTGGCAATGACAAGAAGGCAAACAACAGCCATGGAATGAGTCATGTATATGTACTAAGCTCCCATTGTTTGAATAGGTTTACTTTCATTAGGACATTTGGTTAGATTTTGGTCTGTAATCTTAGAAGTGTGTATCTGTTCGGACTATGATTACTATAACTGAGTATTTTAAATTGATATTCCATGAAAACATTGGTGACTTTTAAAAAAATGTCTCAAGTAGCATAAAACATGATGTTGAAGTTACTCAATTATTTTCATCAATTTAATATAAAAATAAATATTGCAAATTAGTGATCCCATTGTTTGCTGTTGTTTATTGTTGATTTTATTTTTATTTTATTGTGTATGTTTTAATCTGTATTTTTGGGCTTGTCCCCTTGTAAGCCGCCCCAAATCCCTTTGGGGAGATGGTGGTGAGGTATAAAAATAAGGTGGTTGTTATTATTGTTTTTGTTGTTGTTATTGTTACTATTATTTGAAACACAACAAGATTAGTACACAGCAAACAAGGTCACTCTGCTGGCTGTTGTATTGGATCACACGTCGGACATTCCCAAGTGTCTAGGACTGTCTGATGTATCGGCGAATAATGCGTGCAGATCCCAGTAAGGTGGCCTTTTGCAGCTGAGAGATGGTAATATTGTCAGCGCCAGTTGTGTTTAAGTGCAGGCCAAAGTCTGTAGGGACTGCATCCAGTGTGCCGATCATTACTTTTACCACTTTTACTGGCTTGTGCCAGAGTCTTTGCAGTTCGATCTTTAAATCCTCGTATCATGCCAGCTTTTCC